TTAATTCATTAAAAGATAGAAACCCATGTTTTCAGATTATTGAACTAAATTTGAACCACGCCAACGGATAAGTAAACGCCACGCGCAGTGTTGTTATCTTTTATAGATACCAAAACGATCTGCAACATGTGGTTGTGTTCACGAGTATAAAATTATAAACTCAAACAACAAAAATTTCAGTTAACCTTCCCTGCTAATATCTGTGACGGAGGTGAATTGCCAGATAGATTAATTGATTCGAAAGAAATTACGCTTCCTACAGTCTCAGCAGCTAGTCGAGGCGATTTTTATCGGGCATGTAACTCATTTTCACTCGCCAGTTGCAATCTGCCAGCTAAAAATATATTAAAAATCACATACGTATGACTTGCCTCTTTAAATAACATTCACAAACGACGGACACCAAAGTATCACAAGCAGAATTCATTAAGAACGTTCGCAATCGCGTAACGTTTGGCGGTGACGCCGTTGTGATTTGTCAGTGGTTGTTCCCCTAACGTCAAAAACGAAGTGGGTGGGGCTTATCGCGCCCTAGTACCTCCGGTAGGCAGAAGGTAAACATAAACATGAGGGAACCACACAAGCTGCACTCATTTGATCGTCGACTTTACATGCATAACAACTCTTCCTGGTCTGTTCTCAGTGCATCTTCAATCACCAGAATTATCCTTGTGACGATAGACACATAACAATATTATATTATTGTTAATGACATAATGACATTTTATAATATCTCCCCGTGTTAGAACATTATTCGAAAATCATCGCCCGCGAGAACCATTAATAGACCGATCCAGTCTGTCAATCAAAAGTGGCGCATGCGTCAATTTGGGCCAATCAGCAGGCCAGGCGCGCTGTGTGGATTTGTCAGACTTATTTCCGGGGTCAAACGATGCATCCGAAGCGATGTGCTTCGAATTATGCCATTGACACTCGCTAGGTTTATTACATATTGCTGCGATTGGATGTGTACCTTTAACAAAACCATTACGGTCAAGACAACAAAAATGGAGGCGGATCAAGAAACGCGATAGGCCTAACGATCTGTTAAATGTCTGCACCATCGTTCAGGAAACCTACGTCTGCCTGCTGATGAGAATTTGCACGAATTTCCACACTTTTGCACATGTGCAAAATCATTACCAATTAATGACAACAAATAGCAGTTTAAGACTTTGCAAGTGTTATAAACACGGACAATTCTTGTAACTACAAAATTGTTTTGCTTTAACGTTTTTAGTCACTACTACCCTGATAGCAATAAATTGTTGGGCCAACATTGGCCAACGTAGGCCCAATGATGGCCAATGTTGGTCCAACATTGGCCCAACGGACATTGCTATCTGGGTAGGCATTGAGTTGGTACGCCATAAAGCCTCAAATGAGACTGGCGAGAAAGCCGTGACACAATGTAAACAAATCTTCATTTCGGTTAGGGTCAACTGAAATAGCAAAACTTGTTACATGAAAGAACAATGTGGCGGATATTGTCCCTTTCGCTCTTAAATATTCTTCAATTTGTCACACATTTTAGGATGTTTTAAGTTTCATAAGCACAATCTGAATGCCTACAGCATCTTGTTAACAGAGCAAAATATTCGATGAGTAATATTTTGTATTCAAAACAGAAATATTGTCAGTGTCAGCTGTTGCCTATCATGCAATAGCCAAGTATCAAAATTAGTCCATATGAGTGCCTATAAAACCATGCTTTAGATATTTCTGATTTTTTATAAAGAGTTACATGGGACTTTGAATTGAATTACCTTCCTCCATGTTGATCGAATACGAAAACTATGTGAGAAGAATAGTGACTTTCTGGAGGATTGGACGGAGTGAAATAAAGTGTATATCTTAATTATGAGAACATTATTTGAAGTTTTGTTACCACATAAATTATTCACATATATTGGTACATTTTAGGAGTAATATTACAAGTGTAATTTTGATTAATTCACTGGAAATGATAGCAAGGTATGTTTTAAGAATCTTGCTTTTTTATGTAAACGTGGAAGGGTAATAAAATTAATAATAATCTAATCGATAATATATAATTATTTAATTGATTGACATATCAGATTTTTTAGATTTTAAGGCAGAACTAGGCAAACAAACACCATACATATCATGGCAGGACAATCACTTGGTATTAACTTAGTTTCTTGGCTCCTGCTTTTAGATGGTTTTTAAATACTACATTTACTAATAAGATAATTCTAAAAAGATTGCTAGTATCATAACTCATTAAAGTTATTTCAACATCCAGAAAATTTGAAAAAGCAAAGGATACGTTTTGTCAAACCCTGGTCAGGCATTATCCAGTCCTGGAACAGAATAACTTACAAAATCTCAGGTGACTTTTAATGTAACGGAATAAAGATTGAAACATATATTTAACCCATATTTGATGTAATTCTTTGAACATAGGATATATTCTTTGCACCTTATTTACACTAGTAGTTAGCAGTTAAACACATTTTATTTCAATGCTAGTTAATTGTTCGGATAACTGTGGATTCTCTGTTCCAAAAAATTTTGCATCACATGTTTCCTATTTCTGGAAGATGGGTCAGCTAGTGTACAGGTGCAGACTGTATCTTGGATCTTCTTTGTGTTCTGGTGCTGTGACATACCTGTACATAAACGCTGGCAGTTCATGAAGTCAAGTATTGTGGAAGTTTGTATGTAAATTAGGATTCCACAACAAAGTACATATAGAAAAATTAAATGGAAATGAAGATTTAAAAAATGGTTTACTTATATTCAGTGTCATTTTATCATGGTGTACAGATTTTGAAGAGAGAAACTTTACTGAGAGTTGCTGCAGATCAGCTGTTGAATATTTGCTTCTGGGTATGTCCAGATACGTCCATGGAAACATATTGTTTACAAGCCCAATTACCTTTTCCAGATTTCCAAATAAGATCAAATAGGTTATGCTGTGATTGATTTGTTTTACATTAATTGTACAGACAAATAAGGTGCATGAAGTAGACGGGAAATATTTTTCTGCTTTTAATTACCATTCTCTTAATTCATTAAAAGATAGAAACCCATGTTTTCAGATTATTGAACTAAATTTGAACAACGCCAACGGATAAGTGAAGGCGCCACGCGCAGTGTTGATAATCTATTTATAGATACCCGAAACGATCTGCAACATGAACATGTGGTTGTGTTCACAAGTTTTAAAATTATATTATTAAATTATAAACCCAAACAACAAAAATTCAGTTATCCTCCCCTGCTAATATCTGTGACGGACGTGAATTGCCAGATAGATTAATTGATTCGAAAGAAATTACGCTTCCTGCAGTCTCAGCAGCTAGTCGAGACGCTTTTTCATCGGACATGTAACTCATTTTCACTTGCCAGTTGTAATCTGCCAGCTAAAATATATTAAAATCACATACGTATAACTTGCCTCTTTAAATAACATTCACAAACGACGGATACAAAAGTATCACAAGCAGAATTCATCAACAACATTCGCAATCACGTAACGTTTCGCCGGCAGTGACGCCATTGTGATTTGCCAGTGGTTGTCCCCCTAACGTCAAAACGAAGTGGGCGGGGCTTATCGGCCGGGACTGGATCGGTCTATAATTACGACTTCGAATTTGTAAAATAAAGATCTACGCACCGGCGGCAATATTGAGGGGACAAAATGTACAACGCAAGCAAAAATGACAACTTCTGTTGAAAACAGCAAACAAAACGAATTGAAGGTGATTGAAAACTTAATTCTATTGAGCCTACTCAAGAGGAAAGAAATAAAACACTAACTGTTAAAAAATATATATGACAAATATCTAGACATTTTTAGGGCTTTACACGGATACAAACAAGAAAGACAAAAAGAATGGCAGTCATATGTCACCAACGCTTTTTTTCAGAAACACTTTTCGAGATAATTTCAGGATCCCCTCTCTTTGGTTTTGGCTTTATCCATTTTTATGATATAAATAAAAGCCCTTTTGAATCTGAAGCAGATATTTCAAATGCACAATAAGTATAGTTTTATTTAGGACCAATCACTGATCAGTAGGTGAAGTCTTCAACCAATTATGTATGGGCAAGGGTTTGGTGGACATGAATTCACAGCTTCATGGAAAATGGGGAAATACTTGAATACTTGATGTGGTGATAGGATCGTAAAATATGTTAAATACCAAAGCTGTGGAAACCAGGGAACACCCCATCTCACTTATTGGTCAGAGACTGCATGGGTGCAAATCCAATTTTGCAATAAAGTCCCCAAACCATCAACAAGTATATTTAGGAGATAAAGCTACTGTGTTTTGAAATTAGCGGCAACATAACGGATTATAATAGCTATAAATTTAATTTAAGACCGCACGCATTTATGTGCATTGGATATGTAAAAATTGGATTTGAATATAGATCTACATGTATTTATGCAGCGTTGTAAACACATTGTAATAACATAATATAATATGTTATGAAATAGTTTCGTCCAAGTTGTAGCATGTTATCTTGAATAACATTGTAAAACATCAGTAATATCATGTGCTAGGTGTACTAGGCTTTTTGTTTATTACACCAGAAGGGCCGTTCGTTGAGCAGCCAAATATGTTGTGTAGATCTACACACAATAAAGGAAATATGTTTTCCTTTTTCTACGTTGTACTTTCTCAAAACGGTTCATCTCTTTAATATTAGACCTAATAGCGCTGAGTATAGTGGTCTTTTAAAAAAAACAAGTTCTCTTTCGGTGTGCTTTAATATACCAAGCAATAAGTTTGCTAATCGATTTCGGGAGTAAATATTTCTGTGCTCACGTATTGTTGTGATAGAAGTTTTGTTTTGAGATAAATGCGAGTTTTATATTCTGTTTTGCTGTGACATGCTAGTGGTTTTTACTGCCCTTCGTTGGCAGGCTTTTATAATCTATATGTATTCCCCATGTGTTTTGATCTTGCATAGTCACGATATGGCTAAAATACTGCCGATGTGACTTCATTTCTCTGCAGTCATGAAAAGACAAACATATGTGATCACGTGCGCCGTGGTGTTTGTCGAACAAAGATGGCCGCGTCGTTGTGATAGTCTGTTGGTCGATGGAAAGGCGTATGGCTAGCATATATTTGTTGGCACAGGTAAGAAAGCTACGGCACACGTAGACCGAGACCTAGGACTCTCTTTTATTGGCCATTTTAGGGCTCCTGTGGCTATTCCAGTCACAGCACAATGTAGACATTTCGAATATTGATTCGCTTCTGTTCACGTTTCACAAGACATAAGCGGAAAGGCTTCCGCCCGTATCGATCCTATCCCTCCCCAAATTTCGTTTTGCATGGCTTCAAGTCATATTACCTAGAAATATATATTATCTTCATTATTCCCTAAACTTCTACCACTTTCTAAAGTGAATTTAAGCTCCTTGGGTAATAAAATCCTTCTGACAGTCCTCACACTACATAGGCTGAGAGGCCCAGACAAGCTGCGTAGCTGGGTAAAATACGCATAGAAACTTTTCAATTACGCATTGAAAAAAATTGTTGCGTACCAATTACGCATTTAAACTGTTAGATACGCAAAGAGTTTAAAACAAATGCGTATGGAATATACTTATAAAATCGCTTGCGTAATGAAAAGACATCGATTGCTACCAAGTTGTACTGTGAGCATAGGCCAAGTGTTGTACTGTCAGTGTGTAGGATGACTTGTTTTTATGATCATTTCCCCTATATTTAAGTTGGTTTTGATTAGGTATGACATAAGGCAGAACATACCTGCTTAGTAAACTTACTCAATGACACAATACTTAAGTGTGTAAAATGACTGAAATACATACATATTTTGAAAGCAGTGGGGAACGGTAAATGAAATACCCACTCAACATTCATAATACCACTCCAAAAATACAGTGGGTACAGTACCCACATTAGCTCAATCTTATCTGGAGCTCTGGTGACATAACAATGAGACTTCTGAAGCGAGACTATCTGAGGTGTAGATACAGAATGTCCTCATTGACATCTACATCAACTGGTCGTACATTGCTCCATACCGATCTTCTGCCTCTATTTCTAACTTGTCTCTGTTTCAGATCAGTCACATAGCAGCAGTGAAGACCAAGAATAATGTAAGGGTTGAGAGTGAAATGTTGGCATGGCAGTGAAATATCTTGATGATGAACATACTCAGTCTCAGGCAGTAACAAGGGAGAAGCCTGAAAGAGAATCAACTGATACCAGCACACATATTACATCGGAAACGAATTAGGAGAAGTGTCACTCCATTTGGAGAAATATTTTTCTAACCAGTCCTCTACGGTACCAGTGACATATCAAAACAGTACTGAACGAAAGAATATACATCTTAGCACCGAAGAACAGATTCAGCAGGAAAGGATTCCCCAGGTACAAATTGAGCAGGAAAGGATTCCACTGGTACAAAATCCACAGAAAGGGATTTCAAAGGAAAAGGTTATTTTGGAAAGGAATACAAAGGAAACGGATCTCAAGCATACTGTATTTCAAACAGGTGACTGGTTCTACTATATCTGCCCATTGATAATATTTGTAGGCAACAGACTGAATATGTCTTCACTTGAGAATCTGTATTTCAGGCAATTGGTATCTGGTGAACCAATGGGCATTGTGGAAGAGATGAAGTTTGAAGCTCTTCGTCTCAAAACATTCGCACAGTGGATGCTGCTTGACAGTGCTAGTCCAATTAGGTTAGCAAAAGCAGGATTTTTTTACACAGGAAATGAAGATGTTGTTAAATGTTTTTCTTGTGACATTGTGAAAGGAGGCTGGAACAGGAACATGAACCCAATGCTGGTTCACAGAGAACTAAACCCGTCATGTTCCTTCTGTCAAAATGAAACTGATGTGAATATCCCATTCTTTGTTCCACAACCATCTGAGTACCAGGAAATCCAGGATTCCTTGCACAGACAATACTGTGGCACTGACTCGCCAGCCATCACCAGCAGCAGCATCTCAAACCGGCACCAAGACAATCCAAATTATTCCAGCGCCACCTTCAGGCAGAATCAGCCAACATCAACTCAGACGAACTTCCCTGTTGTGGCTACAGACTCTGGTGCAGCGGAAACGAGTCGCCAGGCTATTGGGACAGCTGGAGGACTTGGACAAAGACATGATTCCGAAGCTACTCCGACCAGAGAGGAATTTGCACCCATGAAGGAGGAAACCAACCGTTTCTCCAGCTTTGATGCCAACTGGCCAAGACAGAACACCCCAGACCCCAGAGATCTGGCCCGAGCTGGATTCTACTTTACAGGGACCGTCGATCGCGTACAATGTGTGTTCTGTAGAGGAATCCTTCGCAACTGGGATGAGGACGATGTCCCAATGGAGGAACATCGGAGACACTTTCCTATGTGCCCATTTGTCATGGGTTTGAATGTTGGAAATGTACCAGACCCTGCGTCTATCATATCTGCCAATAGATCATCTGAGTTCATGAACGTGACCCAGCCAGCTGCTGTTATCAGTGATGCAAGCTTGGGGATTGTCACTGATCGTCCCAGACATCCACAATATGCCGTGGAAGCTTCCCGAGTCAGCTCCTTCCGAAACTGGCCCAGTGGAAAGGAACAGACTCCCCGAGATGTTGGCAAAGGCTGGCTTCTTTTATGCAGGTAAGTATTCTTTACCATTGGTACTTCCAGCTGATTTTGATCTATGGAATGTTTGAGACAATCTTAGGATCTGTCATTTACGTCAGTGGACTTCATCATGTTCATGAAACTTGTAAACTGACATTTCTTTTGACTGAGGTTGTACTGTGCAAATCTCCACCACCAAAACAAAGTCATCAGTGTTTTCTGTACTGAGCGAGGCGTGATGTTTATAGACATTTCAGTTTGTATATGAGACTCTACAACATGTTTATGCGTTCATAGGACTCATTAAATGTCAGACTTTCTTGTGAAACAACCTCTGTGGTATTGTGGTTAGAAGCTCTCTCAGGGAGCTGATGGTGAGTGGCTCCTCCCCATGACTTCAGTGACAAACAACATTGAAGATGGTACTAACTTCTTGGTAGCTGTTTGCAAGTGGCAGTAAGGAAATATAGCAAGGAGAGATCGTCTCCAGAGTCCTCATACTATACCTGAATAAGGTGTCGGTGTTAAATTGTCGAAGTATCTCAATGGGCTAGGCTTCTAAAACAAAAATATCAAGACTGGTACAAATAGCCACATACAGAGTGATGCATTTATGAGTATAAGCATTGGTGATATCCTTGGAACAAGACATTAAACCCCATTTGCCATCAAGAAACCTCACCTCATGCTTGTAGGATTGGTCTGTAAACACAATAGTGAAGTAACTGAAAAACCCCTTGCAGTCAGTTCTTGAGTGTGTTGAGAATTCAAACATGGTTTTCTTTATATTTGATTTTGAAAATATAACGTGAAGTCAGAATGTAGCCAACTCATTGGTTGTCAATTTTTCAATTGTTACAGTCAGCACTGGAAACGTGACAGTCAATGACATCTGAGAATCATGCGTGTTTCTCATTTTTGATCCAAATGAGGTTACATCTCATTGAAACATGCTAAACAGCTAGTTAGTTCAAGTTTGTGGTCGTTATAATGTGTCTTTGTTCAACATGTTCATGCTCCAATAGTAGAGTCTTCTGTTCTTTTCATGACACAGGTTTTGGTGACAGTGTAAAATGCTTCTTCTGTGATGGTGGTTTGGCGCACCTGGGAGCAGGCGATGACCCCTGGGCTGAACATGCCAGATGGTTTCCTCGCTGTCCATACGTCGCGGCAGGTCAAGGGGCGAGAGCTTCATCCAGACAGCTCTTGGTGGACGTGAGGTACCTAGTTGAGACAGCACATTAACAAACCTTCAGATAGACAATCACATATACACCTGTGCATTAATTCAGCACCACCCTATTTTGAAAATAAGATGTGATGCTACAGAAAAGTTAGGGTATAGCCATCAATTTAATCAACTTGTAGTTAAAGAAGCTTTATCCAATGACAGTTTTACAAATACCACAGAGTGTCGCTTAGACACAGCGTTAGAAGAAGATATATATATATAGACCCTACCTTAGTACTATATAAAGGAAAGGGATGTAGCAGCCGGAACCACCCCTCCTCAATCAAAGTTAGATTTCACCACGTAAACTATTTTTAAAGGCCCTTCGAGCCTACGGATCGAAAGCGAGGTGATTTCCTACAAAATGAGAGCTATAAATGGTCACAATCAGATCATTATTTCAAAAGTTATATGCCACAACTCACCGAAAACAGCTATCTCCGCAATTCCAAGCCAAAATCATGGATCACCCAAGACAGCGAAAACTCATCTTTTAAATTCGTTTATTAATTCCAGCCACGTCGACAGCACCTATGTAGGGCTAGATTCAATCGGCAGTGGTATTCCACCGGTCTAAAAACTTATTGCAACGTCTACAAATCATTTCCTCGACAGTGAACAGGCATTTTCTCCAAAACCATCGGCAATCATACTCTCTTGTCCGCCATAGATGGCCTTGACATTTAAGTGACCTGAGCAGTAAATTGGTAACAATAATTTTAGAGGTTAAATATTTATAAATATAATTTCCTAAAAATGAATCAATTTCGAATGCATTTTTACAACCTCTAAAAATATTCTTAACAATTTACTGTTCCGTACATCATCCAAAATAGAAGGAATGTTGCAAAGTTCATATTTCCCACCCATTAGCAAACAGGCAAAATCTTACAGTATGTTTTTCCACCAATCGGATGGCCCAATTCTGTTTCTGCGGATCTGCTCAGGTCACTTGAATGTCAAGGCCATCTATGTCCGACAAGTGAGTATGATTGCTGATGGTTTTGGAGAAAATGCCTGCTTACTGTCAAGGAAATGATTTGTAGATGTTGCAAGAAGTTTTAGACCGGTGGACTGCCGCTGCCGATCGAATCTTGCCCTACATAGGTGCTGTCAACGTGGCTGGAATTAATAAACGAATTTAAAAGGTGATTTTTTGCTGTCTTGGGTGATCAATGATTTTGGCTTGGAATTGTGGAGGTAGCTCATTTCGGTGAGTCGTGGCGTATAACTTTTGAAATAATGATCCGATTGTGACCATTTATAGCTCATGTTGTAGGGAAATCATCTCTCTTTCGATCCGTATGCTTCGAAGGGGCCTTTAAACTAGTTTACGTGGTGAAATCTAACTTTGATTGAGGAGGGTGGTTCCGTTGTTACATCCCTTTCCTTTATATAGTACTAGGGTAGGGTCTATATACCTATATGTCTTTCTAACGCTGTTTCTAAGTGTTACACACCCTGTGACAAATACCATAACCTTTTCTTTTCTTTATCAAAGAATATGTTGATGAAAATGTGATGGGACTGAATTTTTACCCAAAATAACTATTCCTGTCCTGCTCAAACTACACAATTAAATTAAGTTTTGACTAAAAATAACAATTCTGTTATATACCAAGATGACATTTACACATCAAGTAAGCTTTAATTATGCATTATCAGGAAGAACCGAATGTCAAAGATTCAGACCTATTTCCAACAATTCAGATTGCTAATTGACAAAACAGAAAAAAGGCCACATTAATAAGATTTTGGAATATTTTTTTATGATTTTGAGTTTATTGTAATGAATAAACTCTTCTCCTTACCAGATACTGATAATTACAGCTAAAATCTGTTTGTTTTGTTTGTAAAAGCAACTTTTACTGCATTTTAAAATTTTCCTTTTCTTAGTTTGACTGTAACTTTTTCTCAATCTTAGTTTACAAACTTTCATCCATTCACAATAAATAATAGGCCACACAACAATCAATTATTACTTTCACTTTTCAAAATAGGTAACTTGTTTTAGGACAGAAAAACACCTGTTTTAAAACATTATCTGATTAAAGTACATGGTATTTCAATGGTGTTTGGGGTTTTAAAATGTTAAATGCTTGCTCTATCAAGCAAGGTTATTTTTGGAAAGAGTTTAGAATGTCATTTCAGACAAAATTAATGGGTAAATATACAGGGGTGGTGCTTATTTTATGCACAGATGTATATATATTCATAATGTTGTCTTATTTGATTTATGTCAACAAAATTGGGACTATGTTCAAGCATATCTTAATTTTTATTGATAACTACCTTAAGCTAAGTTTGATCTTTTGTAGCACCCAAGTTTAATACCCTTTGAATGCCTCTGAATTCTATGTATCTTATCTGTGCGGAACTTATGAGATATTTTACAGGAATGTTTTCAAAGTTTTATCTATCTTTATCTTTTATAGTTCTTTTGTGAAAAGCAGGATTGTTATTCCCCACCATACCTTTTCGTTGTGTACTTCAAGTCTTGAGGGAAGAAAATATTCTAGAAAACAATAGATAGATTCAATTGCTGTATGCTTGGACCTAAATGTGTATTGATACGTGATTCGTATACCTGCTTTAATTCCAATCAATATTTCTGTTAGCCAACAACATCAACATCTGACAACAGCACGTCATCCACGTCGGAACAAACACATAATGGTAGGTACATATATATATACAAGCTCTGATGATAATCACTGCATTTGTAGTTTTGCCATTCTGAAGCAGATGTCTGGTGAAAATCATAGTCAGATGTTGATATACTTTTTAGTATTCTTTTGTACTCCTGACACTAAGGTTTAGAGTCGGATTTCAGATTTTAAAAACCAAGGGGCATTGGGGTATCCTAGTGACTAAAGTATTTGCTTGCCACGCAGAAGACACGGGTTCGATTCCCCACATGAATACAATGCATGAAGCCTATTTATGGTGTCCCTCACCATGATATTGCTGGTATATTGCTAAAAGCGGTGTAAAACCATACTCACTCACCCTATGCTGTTCAATGCAAAAGCAGCCATTGCTTTGGTCATTGAGGCAAAGGCAAGGTACATGCATCACTTCAAAGAAGGGTCGACCTGTGAAGATCCAGGGTAGAATAGGTCTTCAGCAACCCATGCTTGCCACAAAAGACGACTATGCTTGTCGTAAGAGGCGACTAACAGGATCGGGTAGTCAGGCTCACTGACTTGGTTGACACATGTCATCGGTTCCCAATTGCGCAGATCGATGCTCATGCTGTTGATCACTGGATTGTTTGGTCCAGACTCGATTATTTACAGACCTCTGCCATAAAGTTGGAATATTGCTGAGTGCGGCATAAAACTAAACACACTCACTCACTTACTCACTTACTCCCTCAAAGAAGGGTCCTTTGACATTTTAAGTTGAACAAACTTTGCACTTTTTCCATACAAAAACCACTGGGCAGATGACTTGAACATTGTGTGAACATAATGGAAGATCATATTGAAGACATCACTATATGCACTGAAAGCCCTTGCCCCTAATAGTGTTTAAAAACATCATTTTTCAAGCTGCAACCATCACTGCAACAAGGAAGAAAGCTGTGCAGACCTTAGACCCTCGAGAGTTGTCTGCCCGGATGGACAGCCCCATGGTGCAGACAGTGCTGAAGATGGACATTCCCCGAGACAGAGTGGCCAAAGCCATACAGAACAGACTGCAGGAGACAGGTAAAGTCTAAAACACATAGCATAATATACTCCAGTTTTGTCTCCACGGTGACAGTCCTTGATGTCCATGCTTGTTGTTAGTTTCTGATGATGGAAGGTGATCCTGGATGTCCAGTCAAAACTGATGTATCACTTTCAAATGTTGTGGTCATAAGTAACCCCTGACGTATGTTGTGGTCTCAACTGCTGCAATGCCTTCAGTTATGTCCTTTTGTCATCCCGAATAATCTGGCTGTGAATCCACATTCTAGAAAAAGTATTACTCCATTTTTGTTGTCACTTGGGCTTTTCTGTCACATTGACTTGACGTACCATGACATCACTGAAATGTTCTAGTGACACCCACACCCTCACCATGCCCTCATTGTATAGATATTCACTGTAAGACATGAGGTATTGCCAGTTTTGGGATGTGGCTGGGTTTCACATTTTAAATGGAAGTTTACACTTTACATTACAACTCAGAAAGAATCTCCTGCCCACACTGATCCTCTAAGAAGCTGGTGGAATTGAATGTAGCTGGCTCTCTAGACTGTGTTCTGTGCCCACAGGTGATGACTTTGCCTCAATCGAAGCTCTGATGGAATCCATCTTTCAGCTCCCTGATGAGGAGCAGTCTGCTCCACAAACAACCAAAGCAGCTGTTGGATCTTCTGACCGCAATGTTGATGATGCCATTAAAGATGACATTGGTCAGTAGCACAGTTTTTCATTTGACATTATCCTTTGATTTATGATATGTTTTCATGAGTGAGTATAGTTTTATGCCACTTTTAGCAATATTCCAGCAATATCATAGCAGGGGACACCAGAAATGGGCTTCACACATTGTGCCCATGTTGGGAATCAAACCCGGGTCCTTGGTGTGACGGGCGAATGCTTTAATCCCACTGCCCCATGTTTTTATGAAGAGAATGGTCAAATCAGTATTAACCCAATTACATTGATGTATTTGATCACCTTTGTTTGAAACTGCAGTGCTGGATATAGCAGGGATATTAAACCATGTATATGTATATCTTGTGTTGTTTTGCCTGAGGAACCTGTTTGTAAAGGTCAAGGTCACCTTTATGGTCAAAGCTGTAAAACAAGATTGATTACTGTGATAAGATTTATTGTTGGTCAGTGAAACGTGGTAAAGCCAACATTAGAAAAATTCTTCCTTGAGATTTCTTTATATGTCATTCATAAGTGTGTTTGCTCTTTTCACTAAATACCTTTTTCCACAGGTAGTTTATGTTTTTATACCCCTGACCTAAATACCAAGTAATTCCGTCCTTCGACAGTCTGCCCGAAGACATTTTAGTTCAGCCAATAACTTCTTTGTCTTTTTGGTCTGAAGGAGTGAGTTTAGTATTACACCACACTCAGCAATATTCCAGCTATATGGCGGCAGTCTGTAAATAAACGAGTCTGAACTACACAATCCAGTGATGACTGATCAACATCATGAGTGTCAAGCAGGTTAGCGAGCCTGACCACCCGATTCCGTTAGTAGCCTCTTACAACAAGCATGGGTTACTGAAGATCAATTCTAACCCGTATCTTATCGGGTCTTGTCTGAAGGAGAGGTGCAGTGCAAGTTTGGTTCTGATTTTCTGATTTTTGAAAGAATTGTGTCAATTTATAAATTTTCAACTTGAATAAACTGAAGAGATTCTTTGTTCAACCAATTAGTTGAACACACTTGAATGGATTGGTTTCCAGTTTGGGGATAACCTTCCATATCTAATGGATAGGGGAAGTGCACAGTCATATTCCCATATATTTTTTATGTATCGAGAATTAACACAAATTATATCTCTTGAACTTGGAGGAAAGAGTCCCACATCAAATTTGTTTACTATCATTTAAAGGAGGTTTTACATATTCTTGTAATACCTTTGTTCTTAGGAGAGGTGCAATGCAAGGTTGCTACAAATCTTGTATTTTTCTCAACAATGATCATTATTAACAATAGTTCAGCTGCAGTTGCGAGTTAAGGTGATGTTTGTAAGCCTTGCTCAGATAATTTGGTTTGATATTTTATTGTTATGTCTGTAGTGGTTTTGTTTGTTTAAGACTTAGATATTATATGAATAACAATCATATGACATCACTGGTAGGTTGCTGTTACCCGCGTTCATTATAGGTGTGAATTCTGTGAATGGAGAATCATATTTGAATTATATGTAGGATAGCTCTTTGGAATTTTCTTGAAATACTCATGTCGGAGATCAAATTTTTATGAGGGTTACTTATGGTTTTTTTCGGAAGAATATATTATACCATATGTGGTAATGGTTTAAAAATCCTTATGACATGTGTTCCTTAACTGAATGTGATATCATTCAACTCAAAGTGGTTGTAATTTTCAATTTACGTTAACAATTACCAGGTACTTGATACTTTAAAGTAGTCTGCACTGATTTTTTCCACAAACATTATTATGTCCTTAAACTAGAAGTGATGAGAGTGGAAATGCCTCCAGGTTGCTCATGCTGTTGGTCTGGTATGTAGTATAGTAGGGATGTATTACACCAAGTGTACAGTAATTGCCCTGGATATACATGGTGGTATATTTTAACAATAATTGCCCTGGATATACATGGTGGTATATTTTTACAATAATTGCCCTGGATAGACATGATGGTATATTTTTACAATAATTGCCCTGGATATACATGGTGGTATATTTTTACAATAATTGCCCTGGATATACATGGTGGTATATTTTTACAATAATTGCCCTGGATATACATGGTGGTGGTATATTTTACAATAATTGCCCTGGATATACATGGTGGTATATTTTTACAATAATTGCCCTGGATATACATGGTGGTATATTTTTACAATAATTGCCCTGGATATACATGATGGTATATTTTTACAATAATTGCCCTGGATATACATGGTGGTATATTTTTACAATAATTGCCCTGGATAGACATGATGGTATATTTTTACAATAATTGCCCTGGATATACATGGTGGTATTTTTACAATAATTACCCTGGATAGACATAGTGGTATATTTTTATTTCAAGGGTGATATGGAAATGATAAGGGGCAGTGAGGTAGCCTAGTGGTTAAAGCATTTGCTTGTCACGCCCAAATCCTGTGTTCGATTCTCCACATTGGTACAATGTGTGCAACCCATTTCTGGTGTCCCCGGCAGTGATATTGCTGGAATATTGCTAAAAGCTGTGTAAAACCCAACTCACTCACTCACTCACTGGAAATGATGATGAAGACGCTACTTATGTAGTTGAAATCAAGTTTTAGTGAATGAAACATTTCCGTGTGTGTTGAGTTCTTGCTAAGGTGTTGAGATTTTCGGAATGTTTACAGCCACTTGTTCTGTTACAGGTGAGAAAGGTGATGACTCATGTGAGAGAGCAATGGATGATGATGATGATGCCTCCAGCGATGAGGGTAAGATGATGTTTCACAAGGTCATTGTTACCATCAGTGCCAGTCACAAATAGCAAATTAGAATAATGTTTATCATATTCTTTCAAAATGCTCACCATAAATGTGATTACATTAGAACATCAGTTACCACTGAATTCAGTAATGCTAGATATGAGTCCAATATACAGGAAGCATTAAGGTTTGTCTGAGCCTGTTCTTAAACCATACAGATGTTATATTGTTTAAACCTCCTTAAGAGCCCTAGTATGGATCAGCAAGGGTCACCTAGGGGGATACCCAAACCAGCATTACCACATTTTCTCCTGTCAAATTTGATGATTTGTTATTACTGATACATAAAACCCATGATGAAATTCTGTGAAATGATGGCATTTTGAAACAGTCAGGGTTTTTCACCCCTACCCTCTAGATACTAATAGATCCGTTTGTCTGTGATTTAGATGGGCATGTCAGTTGTAAGTACATTTCTTTACATCATTCACTGGGTTTAATCACAACAAAGCAGTGGCAGATAAACTTATCAGTTTATGTAGAGTTCAGTAAGCAATAAATATATTTTTATTCGACCAAAATAGTAAATAAACAGTGTTTCCCGTCAGTGACAACCTGTCAGGAAGACGACTTCCTTCACTTTGATTGCTGGTTGATTGTGTTGGTTTATTTGTTGTTTAACATCATGAGCATTGTTCCATGCAATTGGGATATGATGACGTTTCAACCTAGTCAGCGAGCCTAAGCTCCTGATCCTGTTAGTCAGCTCTTATGACAAGGGTACCAGTTTTAACCCGGATCTTCTTGGGTGGTCAATTGTGTACCAACAGGACACAGACATTAGGGCTAAGCACCATCTTCCGTAGCAGCTGTCAGTATTGTCCTTGTATCTGTTCCGTCCTGGTTAGAAAGCAAAAAGTCAACCTTTATTAGACCTTCTGTGATAGATATAGATTCTACATCCTCACCGCCATTGGCACATAACAGCTGCCTTTCCGCTAGTAGCTCTGGAGCCCGTTTTATTCTACACTCACTATAGTATTGTGACGAGTTGGCTTTATTTTTACCCTTAGTAAAGAACTGCTACATCTGCTTTCACGTGGTGAAGATGATCTTGGTCTTCACCAATCTTTGGACGGGTCAGATCTTTGATGCTGTCATCCATATACTTATATCTATTATTTTCAATGTACCCTGCGTACAAGCGAGTAACATTTTCTAGGTTACCCTATGGGACTGCTGAACTGTGGGAATTCATTTGGTACTTCGTGTTAGTAATTCTTTATCTCGAATAATAATTGCAAATGCAAATCGAGGAAAGGGAGATAACTCTGAATTTATCTCCAGAAGGGAGATAACTCTAAATTTGTTTTTCTTGTTGTCTGCTAGATTCTGTCATCTGAAAATCTAGTATTCGCCAGTTGCCTAACTCTGGTACTCCTTATTATGATCCGACACCCGTGTTTCAAACAATTCAAAATTAACATTGAGGTGTTCGGTAAGATAAATACATTGTTCACTGATCCCTCAAGGCCTATGGATTGATGTACCCTCTATGTTTGTTTATGTTCCCTGAACCCTTCAGGACATCAACCCATGTCCCCCTCATGACTAGTGAACAACTTATAATATCTTCGGATTACTGTTACTTTGTCACCAATTCTTCTACCTGACTTTGAGGACTGGAGCATTTTAAAAGGACAGAACTCGCTTGAGAGTCACTTTCTTTTCTGCATTTACTGCATGCACTCTAAGTTACATCGCCTCTCCATTGATGGTTACATGATTGGGATGTACCATGACGTTTTAACACATGTCTGAGATAGCCTTCATTGCTGACCTTGGGATTGGATCATACTGGCATATTTTGCTGACATCAAATTCTTTATGAGATGAAGCGTTCGGCAATGAAAGTTGCTATGGTGGCACTGTTTCATGAGCCTGTTACATGCTGTCTTCGATTGGTGGTGGGTTGTGTGGTAGCCTAATGGTTAAAGTGTCCACTCGTCATGCTGAAGACCCGGGTTCGATTCCCCACATGGGTACAATATGTGAAGCCCATTTCTGGTGTCCCCCACCGTGATATTGCAGGAATATTGCTATAAGTGGCATAAAACAATACTCACCACTCCCTCACTCACTCACTTGGACTGCAGATGGCTCAAACAGCTCAATTCAGACTCTATCAAACATCTTTGACATCTATTTCATGTCTGCATTGCACCTTCTACCTGACTCTTCTTTCTGCATGGTATTGAGGCGTATTGTATTGTCAATCTGGCCAGCCTGACAAAACATTTTGGAACCTTGTGGAGTACTGTGAAGTCATGGGACAAACCAGAAATCATCTTACAAGAGCTGAACCTCAAAGTGTCTATCCAATTCTTGCTCTCGCTCCCTTCAGTATCTTGTTTTTAGTTGTCTCCAGGGTAAAGTCCATGACAGCATTCAACTTTACCAGAGGCCTCTTGGCAACAAAGTCCTCATTTTCAAATGCTGGCATGAACTGTGATAGTAGCCTCTTCATTAGCAGCAGTGAAACTAGCAAGCGGCGGGAGTAGTTCCTACGGTTGGTTGCATACAGGAATGTCATTATCTTGGTTTCTATATTCTCATTCTCATGCCAAAGTCAGTTTCTGATTGTGTTCAGAAATACTCTTAATGGAAGAACATTTTCACAGATATTCATATGCAGCTGCTGAAAAGTTTGAAACCTATTGGTGCCTCTCGCCTTCAACTGGTATGACTCCTTGCAAGTCTTCTGGACCAAGCTATTTCATAGGCCTTGTGAGCAGTCCAGTATGAAAGAACATTGGAACGTGGTGTTGATCAAGGGAATTGATAGCTTCCTTTGTTCTTTTCAGTGTAGTGTACAGAGTACATAGAATGACATGGAGGATATTATATGAGTGCCCATGTCATACTATGTATACGACACGAGTGCCTAAATGTTGGTATTTCCCGAGTGGGAGCACGGGATATACCAATATTTAAGCACGATTGTCGTAAACATAGTATGATATGGGCACGAATATGATATTCTATTTATTACAAAAGTCGTCAAATAGAAGAAAATAAACCCAAAATCTACTTTCAAACATAGGCTGTCTACCCGCAGTCGCCGCATGTAGAACGCAACGTCACAGAAGAAATGTGATGTCATAGCATTGTTCATGGCATCACATCACCATGGCAAAGTGATATTTTGCCCTAGGGCATTGTATGAAAAATATGATCCCCGATATTTTCTCCCTCGTAGGTAATAAACAGTTGATCTGCTGGTCAGCTGTCTGCATGCATTCAAAAACAATATAGAACCCCACATAGGAAGTGTGTATTCTGTTGCTTGCTTGTTAAAGAGGTCACTTCCAGCTATGAAACATAAATTCAATGCTATATCATTTTTCGCACAGTAATGGCAGATCATCATTTCTGACCACATTAAAAAATGTGATTTTGATGTTTTGGTTTGGGTATCCAAAAGACGAAGCCACTTAAAAGGCTACTACTGCTCCACTTAGGGAATGTATTTCACATTAAACAGTCATTTCAAGGAAAAAGTTCATGTTCAAGATTTTAATCTGAAATCTGAAGTTAAACATTAAGTATAGAAGCATTTACTGTATGTCAGTGAAACTCAGCCTGAAAGGTTGTGACATAGAAGGTCAAGGTCACTGTTAATATCAACGTTAATTGCTGTTTTTACCAAGATGCCTTTTGTGCATACTTTTGAAACGTCTTATACATGTAGTGGTCATACTGTTTGATTGTATGATGAGCATAAGTTAAAGGCAATATTTTTATATCAAAAGTAGATCACAGTGACCTATTAATGAGCAGCATATGCAGCAATTTCTGTAACCATGTGGTGCTTGATGTCATTTAGTCACTTCAATATGTGACATTAAGGGACCCGTGAAGAGCCGTGTTAGATATGATCTTCAGTAACCCATGCTTGTCGCTGACTTGGTTGACACGTCATCATATCCCAGTTGCGTAGTTTGATGCTCATGCCTGGATTGTCTGGTCCTGACTCAATTATTTACAGACCGCCGCCATATAGCTGGAATATTGCTGAGTTCAGAATAAAACTAAACTCACTCGCTCACTCATGTTAAGGGTCAAGGATATCTTGGATGCTGTGGCTTTTTTATGCTCATCTCCAGAAACATTTATAATATGTTGGGGTCAGGAAGGGTCATGAGCATGATCAGATGCAGATCCGAAGTTTAAGGTCAAGGTCAAGGTCATAGTGGATGGCATTTATAAACTGTTTGGTACAATTTGACAAAAATGAATGTAATGACCTCATAGTATCAGTGGTAAGTGACTATGATACATTTGCAGTGACATGCTATATGCTATATTTCTCTTTTATGCTCTTGGGGATGTGTTTGAAATACTTGCAAATGATACTGAAAGTAAGATTCACTGATAGTCAATCACTGAAAACATATTATTTATGTTAACAAGAATTAATCACTATTATGTTTATTATGTAACTAGAGGACTGTTCAATGTTGGGCATTGAAGTGGTAACGTGTTGAGCACAGTCACTGAACTTCGAGATCACTGATATGATCAATTGTTGGGCATTGCAGTGGTAATGTGTTGAGCACAGTCACTGAACTTCGAGATCACTGATATGATCAATGTTGGGCATTGAAGTGGTAACGTGTTGAGCACAGTCACTGAACTTCGAGATCACTGATATGATCAATGTTGGGCATTGAAGTGGTAACGTGTTGAGCACAGTCACTGAACTTCGAGATCACTGATATGATCAATTGTTGGGCATTGAAGTGGTAGCGTGTTGAGCACAGTCACTGAACTTCGAGATCACTGATATGATCAATGTTGGGCATTGAAGTGGTAACGTGTTGAGCACAGTCACTGAACTTCGAGATCACTGATATGATCAATGTTGGGCATTGAAGTGGTAACGTATTGAGCACAGTTACTGAACTTCGAGATCACTGATATGATCAATGTTGGGCATTGAAGTGGTAATGTGTTGAGCACAGTCACTGAACTTCGAGATCACTGATATGATCATTCTAATGCATTGTTAAGTTAGTGGAGGTCACAATTTAAGTGAACTAATGATCTGGACATCAGGTCAAGCCCCCTTTTACCTAACCTCTTTGGGTGCTGGAGTAAGCTGTGTTAGTATTACATGTTCAATATATTCTTGTAAATGTTATTACTTTAATGATTTCTGGAACCTTCCAGAAAAGGTTGTTAAGAGGCTGCTTCTATTTCGAAATAATTGCACTCTCCCAGTACGTCAGCATCTTAGTTCAAAATCACTTTTACCATTGGCAACCTTCTTACCTTGTTCTAAGCACTATGTTTTAGTGCTTCTGTTAATACAGGAGTGGGTGAGTGAGTGAGTGAGTTTAGTTTTACGCTGCACCCAGCAATATTCCAGCTATATGGTGGTGGTCTGTAATTAATCGAGTCTGGACCAGACGATCCAGTGATCAACAGCATGCGCATCGATCTGCACAATTGGGAACCAATGAAGTGTCAACCAAGTCAGTGAGCTGGAAGCTAGATAGTGGCATAGATTAACAACCTTGTGTTATAATTGCTCGGTCTAAAAGAAATTATTTCTTGTTATACATATGTTACCATGTTACATTCAGTTTTGCTTGTACATTTAAGATGAGGTATACTTCATTTTTGTTTCATCATCTATTGAACAAATATGATGTCTTGATTGCAGATTCCCAGTCCTTGATAGAAGAAAACAGACAGTTGAAGGAACAGAGGCAGTGCAAAATTTGCATGGATGAAGAAGTGAACGTTGTTTTCCTACCGTGTGGCCATCTTGTTTGTTGTGCCACCTGTGCACCTGCCCTGCGGAAATGTCCAATTTGCAGAGCCAACATTCGTGGCACTGTCAGGACATTTATGTCGTAACTGTTTGGGGAATTATTTTGATTTGGTTTTGTTTCAGCTGTTCCATTTATTTGCACTCTTTATCTCTGATAATCGCTTTGAATGATTTCATTATATTTGTAATGTGTCAATTAAGCAAGTTTGTTATGTATTTATTTTGGTATCATTTAAGTTAATGAAGAAATAGTACCTTTCTCTGTATACTTTCAGCAAATTTATGCTTCAATGTAAAACATGAAACACAAATGTTTGCATGTTGAAGGAAGGATGTTCTGTATGGATTGTCATGTCAGCGGGTTTTACACTACCTTCTTACTCAGGGCTGACTTGCACAAAGCAGTCTTAGTGCTACAGTGATTGTAACTCCCATGCTCCAACATAGGCTTAAGATAGTCGTAGCACTAAAATCGCTTTGTGCAAGTGGGCCCAGGTGTATATGAGAGTTGGAATCCATGAATAGGTTTCCCTGACTTGGTAGAACATTACCTGATACCTTGTTCCATGTTACCTCAGCTTTGGTGTTGGCCTTTGGTGTTGGCCTCAGCTTTTTTGATTACTGTGACATTTGCGTGCACACAGTGATGTTTATGTAACTTTACATTTATTATATATTTTGTTAACCAGTTAGTTACCAATAAGAAATTTGTATGCCCTAAGTATATTATTATCGTTGACACTTTTGTGTTTTCTGCAGTTATCCGTTCCCATTCATATATCTCTTATATGAGGTGTGTTTCATTAATGTATTTGGCGAACTTGCCAATAAAAACATAAATGTACAATATTGGTTCTGGTCTAATTATTCAGTAAATCACACTTCTTGATTTCTCTAGGATTTCTTTCAGTTTTCAAAAAGAAGGTTGTTGATAAAATTACCATTTATGTAAGTTTCTAAACTTACAGAATTTTGTCTATATTCATTGTGCTTCCTTTCTACAAGAATTCCTTCATGGAACTGCCATATAGCTGGAATATTGCTGAGTGCAGCTTAAAACTAAACTCACTCACTCACTCCTTCATGAAACAATCTATGATCATCAGATGTTGTGACCCAGAAATGTGGTTTTACATTTCAATTCCAACTATGCCTTTCTTTCTTGCTTCCTGGCTTTTGTGACAGCTGTCTACTAATGTGAAAATGCACACTTGACAAATGTCGGACCATTAATAGATGGCCTGGAGACTTTAAAGTTGTGTTAAAAGAATTAAACCAAACAGACTATACAGTGTAGTAGAACAAATAGCATCTGGAATATAACTTCCACAAACAACTTGGTGCAATGTCATGTATTCAGTCCTTGTGGTCCCTTTCAACCAACTGCCACCTGTGAGATATGCATTCTGGCAGATAGAAATGAATTGTGTTGACATTTGTAGAGATTACACATATCTTCATGGTAAAATCCAAATGCAAAAGTAAACATCTAAAGGGCCGACATAGTTTGTGAGCAGTTGTGCCCTTTAAGCATGCCAAGGAACTTCTAGTCATTAGTTGGAATCTGAAATGTTTTCCAGATTTGCTTGAGGGTTAAATCAAAGTTGTAATCTTTTGAGAACGTAATAACCTGGGAATGTAGAAAATAAGCTTCAGAACAACCAGAAACCTATGCACCAACACCCCAAAATCTTCATGTTGGTACCATGTAATTTCTTTGTGCAAGTGGGGCGGTGGGGTTAAAGCGTTGGCTCGTCACGCGGAATACCCGGGTTCGAATCCCCACATGGGTACAATGTGTGAAGCCCATTTCTGGTGTCCCCCGCTGTGATGTTGGAATATTGCTAAAAGCGGCATAAAACCAAACTCAGTCAGTCAGTCAGTCTTTGTGCAAGTGGGCACCAGGCAATTCTTGGCTTTGACAGTTCAGTGAATTATATATAATTAGCTCTGCAGAGGCTACCCATGTTCAACAACACAGATCCAAGGTAAATTGATAAAGGACAGACTAAGAAATCAAGCTCAAACAGCAAAAACAAATCAATGTTCATTTGTGCCAGGTTACAGGAAAGTTAAATTTTCAACATCTATCGGAAATAACCTGCGTTCTCGGCGACCACATGTACCACCGTTAACACTTCGACTATTCTAGCGTAGAAACTACAGGAATCACTATGATCCCGTGTAAGGGTTTCAGATTGATACCTGTCTGTATAGGCGTTAATTTGTCTGTAAGCGCCATGCGAATGTCAACATAAGGCAATACGACGTACACAACTGAGTACCACCTGAATCTCAGGGGGTATTCGACTGTACATGAAAACCGGATGTTGCATCTCTGCAACAACCCATTTTCCACTGTACAGTTTTCCAGGGACAACCCAGGCCTCACGTTCACGGTTAGTTTGATATTCCCCACGTTTAACAAATGCAACATTTTAAATACGACGATATAACATATTTCTCCACATGCTTTGAATAACAATGATTATGTTTCTATTCTTGTCATAAATGTCTATTTAAAGCGGCTCCCCGACTGAAGCTGAGGTAGCGATCGCGAGAAAGCTTGTTTTACTCCTGATATTACGCAAGTGCTGACCACACAGCGCTTTTGTTCAATTTTACAACAAAACAAGTCTTATTCAAAGTCTTGTGTGAAGTTATAATGCTTATTGCTTTACATTTAGCGAGAAACATGGCAAAATATCGACTGTACGCTCTGGTGGTTGTTCCACCGGTACTGTACGGGGAGTTGCAGAAAACAAATATGGCACTGTACGGGGAGTTGGTATGGTAATGATGCATGTATTGCAACAAAATCCCTGCTACAATGGGTTTTCTTGAATTTTCCCTATTACTGATGGCGACTTTCCATTGCTACGATTGTATACTCATGTTTCGAACTTTGAGGCTATTATTTGTCATTCTATTGACGCTTATACAACAAATATTTTAAAGGTCCGACATCTAATTTTGAATGGTAGCACTAGTAAAATCAAACTTGAGTCTAAAAACTTTCCAAATATTGTGCCAGCTGATCTGATGAAAAATAACCAGACATGTATTCCTGATTGCGAGTTGCTCTCAGTAAAAAATCGAGATATTAATTCACCAGTGGAAGTACCATGTACTTCACACGAAACGTTGTGTGACGAATCTGTCGGGTATAAATCAAACACGGTTTCAGTTATTCCTAACACTGATTGAATATGACGATGACTCACTGATAATGGAAATCAACAAATTATTAGCAAGCATTATTCAAACTGAGGGGCAGATAATCTTTTACTGAGAAATAACCAAACATTATTCCAACATCGGGGTAACTGAAAACCAACATTAACGTAACAACCAGTTACACAACTAAAGGGACGTTCGTGACTTCATTTAACATAAGATATAAATAAATTTTATCGCACATCTTGTGAACATCAATATCATGAAACCGTTATTTGCTATACATGATTCGTTACAACTGGCACGTTAACCATGACAATCAAGTACACAACACACCTAGGGCAAAGTCCGGGCACCTCGGACGTAATAATAATTTCAAAATTATATCTTTCTTTTCATAATGTTTATTCATACTAGTTCTATACCTTTTGGTTATTCTTTTTCAATAATCATAATTTTGCATTAGCGACTACAACGGAACTTATATTTGATGCAAAGCAACGTTTTGCTCAAAGTTCTAAAATTGAAGTGTCAAACGTTTTGCATATTCAGTATTTTGGTCCAGAATTTCAGTGTATTAGGAAACAGCCACACTGAACTTTCATCTGAGAAAATCACATTGTCCCAGTGAAAATTTCTATGCTGTAAGCACCAGTTCAACCTTCGCTCCTTTTGTTCAGGTTTCATGATCGGTGATGGAATTCCTCGACTCTTCTGCCAACCCATTGCATGCAGCTCAGTTCTAATTATCTCCTTACAGACAGCCACAGTTCTTCTATCAATCATATCCAGCCTTACGTTTTCTAAACTCCTTCGTTTGTTTTTAGAAACAAGAATACCAAGCCGCCTCCTGTCACCGACAGTCAATTTTCTGGGCCTACCTGCGCCTCCCTGGTGCTCAGTGTCATAGCCATTTGCAATATTTTTCAAAACACGATAAACAGTGGACAAAGGGATGCCTGTTCTACTTGAAATCACTTTAGCTGATCTGATGTCCTTGTTATAATACTCTAAAATCAACTTCCTCTTCTCTAAATCATCCATACTGAGGATCACTGAAAATATCGTCTGCTAGCAAGTAAACAAAGGGGGGTAACTCTCCAAAAACTAATGAAAAAGGATTAACGGAGTTGTCTCCCTTGAATGACACCAAGCACTTGATAGCTGGTCAAGGTTGTTTATACTAGAAATCCAATTAAACATATTCCTAAAATTCTCAATAATTTCTGGTCATGCTATATCATAGATACATGAGAGATACAGAGATGTATATGTGCAGGTGTTCATTGTTCATTGTGTACGCTTGTTCATTGTGTACGCTGTTCTCATGATAATGTAGCGAGGATCGCCATTTAAAGCCTTTTACATGTGTGGCACCTGTACATTCTACCATCGTGGTAGCATCTTGTGTTCATACATGTAATTCTTTGCCACGACACTCTGACAGACATCATATTCCCGAGTGTCATCCTAACCCGAACAGGTCTTGCGATGACGCGCAAGAACTTTCTTGACAAGTACGATTTCTTACAACTTGCACACTTCACTGGTCTTAAACCATGATGTTGATTTACAGATGTGTAACTCCACAGCTGGTTGAATGTCTTATTACATACAACACATTCAAATCTCCCAATGTTCTTGTGGATGCTGTCGGAGTGAAGTTTGACTGACTGACTGACTGACTGAGTTTAGTTTTACGCCGCTTTTAGCAATATTCCAGCAATATCACGGCGGGGGACACCAGAAATGGGCTTAACACATTGTGCCCATGTGGGGAATCGAACCCGGGTCTTCGGCGTGACGAGCCAACGCTTTAACCACTAGGCTACCCCACCGCCCCGAGTGAAGTTTGAAGCCGTACTTAGTTTTGAAGCTTCTCCCGCATCCATCGCATAGGACTGTCGTGGTTTTAGCTCTAATAGGGGTACTTGTGACAACGTGTGACGAATTTAAGAAAAGGCAGACTCGTCTAGGGCCTCAACATCCATTTCTGAAAATAATTTAAGCCGCGCAGTACACCATAGCGTTTAAAGCAAACGGGTATTTAGTATTTGGACAAGACATAATTCCACATAGACCTGCATGCTAACATTAACTAAATGAGTGTTCAAAACATAGGATATATGGCGTCACTGTATATGTAATTAGTAACAAAGTTGTCGGATAATTGAATCTTAACCATGTGCGCAGCTGTGACTTCACATTTATCTGCAAAAATTCGCAGATGTCCAACAGGAACTCATGTAATGAAAAATATTTATGGCACACCAAATAAACATGGAAGTCTTTGAGGAATGACCCAAACCGAATACCTGTCACAGGACACAGTCACCCTGTAAAGGCGCAACTACCCGTACAGTCACAGCCCGTGACAGTAGCAACGACTCTTTAGCGTACAGTTTAGTTTCAGTCAAAACAAAGGCTTGAAACATTCACAATACATGCATTGGGCATTTAAATGATAAAATCGGCATTATGCCTGCATAGATAAGGTATGAAATAAACCATCGATATTACTGTGACTGACAGATGTAGTTATTTTTGCGTAAGGCACGATCACGAGATCTGAAAGGCGACAGTAAATCATCCCGATAACGAGGATGAATGAATGCCACATAATAAATATAGTAGTTAAGGGTACAAGAAAGCTTCATCTGTTGACACACAAACTTTAAGCCCGTTCTTTTCAAAATATGGTCTGTAAATACCGTGA